TGCAGACTGTATAAGTGTATTGTCAGGGAATTGTGATTGTGTCAACATTTGAGTGAATGTCCCTCCCACCGGAATTGGCATCTGTGTGCCACCAAAGTTGCTCTCATTCTCCACATAGATTTCCAAAAAAAAATCAGGACCTAGTTTCTATGGGAGATCTAATACATTAGTTAAAGACTCACTATCGTTGATTGGCAAAAACCTATACTTCTCCTGACATGGGAGTTTACATTTAAACTTTAATCGCATTATTCCTCCCCCACCCCGATGCACATTATACAACCCCTATGCTTCGGTGTCGCACGACACACCTTTCTTACGATTTCACAAAATGTTTCCCCTCCAATAGAACATAATGCTCACAACTTCCATACCTAAACTTTGCATTCAAACCAACTCAATTATTTGAAAATAATAAAGTAAGCACATTTAGGAAACTGATTTCCATGGTTGAACTGTTAGTATATGACATTTGATTATAATGCCTGATAGAAATCCAAAATTATATAACTTTATATAATCTTCAACATACATATTCAAACTTATACATACACATGATAGGTTTATGACACTATACCAACTCTATATATTCAAACCTATACATATGCAAACTCAATATAATAAATGCTCACAAGTTCGTTTTACAATTCCCTTGTAAAAATGCAAAAACATGTCATACGTTAAAGAAACCATACATTTTGGGGAGATGAATCAATTTATGGATGAAACATACAATATGAAGACATCTATTTTTGGACTATTACTCTTAAAATGATTCAATATCACCTATTTGAGGTCCCTATGGACTGTGTTAGATCTTCTTACAATGCAATTTTAGAGCATGCTACAAGCATCCAACACTTGATAGGGTTGGCTAATTCTTGTGTGTGAATGTGTCACATATTACCAACAATTTAGTGATCCCATGCCTAGTTCGTTATTTCATATTTTAATCAGATTTAATATCATGATGTAACATGGATCCCATAGAACTTAAAAGGTTAGCTAATCCTTGTGTCTGTAGTCTTTTATCGTCGTAGAATTTTTTTACCATTACTACTTGCATGAGCAAGCTTACACCACTCAACAATTTTTTTGACATTAGGTGTAAAGGCACATACTGTACTTTGCACGTCATAATTTCTCATTTCATGTTCATGTATACAACCACCATTGGGTTCTCAAGCTTGTTCATACAACCTAATTCCATCTATCTATGACATTATAAGCAATAGGGCTTTGATATAGCAAAATCTAATAACCTAATTTGTCATACTATAAGAACCTAATTTTACAATCCCTAATATCTCATACTATAAGAACCTAAAAACTTCCAACAGCAAAATCCTAAATTGTTCACAAGTTCAAATTCTAAACTAGCATGGCTACAATTTATCAATTTGAAACAATAGTATAAAATATTCAAATTCCAACACCAATAAGTTTTTCCATGAACAATAAAAATTATTTTGCCTTCTCGAAACATAAACACAACAAATTTAATTTCACTTTTTACTTTGATTAGAATGAAAATAGAAATAAAATCATTTGAAACAAAATAAATTAATGCCCACATTTCAAATAAAATACAAAAAATGAAATAAAAAAAATTCGTAACATTTTTGGGAAACAAAAAATCTATACATCTTTGACAAACGAATATCATCAAAATGGAAATAAATTTATTTTGACATCAAATAAGATAATGACAACCATTTAAAATAAAATACAAAATATGAACAAATAATTTGTAAAATATTTTTCACAAAAAAATTTGTTGAACATTGATCAAACTAGATCTTACCTGCAAAACATATCTTACGAATAACAAAATTTGTACATTTTCAAAACCCTAGTTTCAGCAATCCCTAATTTCGAAATTGAAAACCCCTAATTTGAAATGAAAACCCCCATTTATGCAATACAAACCTGAATGTGAATGTTTGCTAAAGGCCTTTCTCGTTTTGCCGATGGTCTCGCGTTACCCCGTTCTTCGTTGGCTTGCTCTTGTCGTCGGTCTTCCTTGTGACTTATGAATGTGAACTGTGTTGGAGTGTATAATAAAAACGACTTTTCTAAAGACAAATGAAAAATGAAGTAGAAAATGTTTATTAGAAAAAGGCTTTTGTAAAGCCGTATTATAAAACGGCTTTTCTAAAACCGTTTTATTTATTAAAAATATTTTTGACAAACAATATTTATGTTCAAAATATAAATTGAATTTTTTTTTACTAAAAAACGGTTTTATAAAAACCATTTTTAATTAAGTCAGATTTAATTACACGACAAGTAAAAACGGTTTTTGAAAAGTCTATTTTTCGAGCTATTTTTTATTCACAAAAATCGACTTTGGTAAAGCCATTTTACCCTATCATGGGAATAAAGAAAAAAAAAAAAAACCCTAGAATGGGAATAAATTTCTAAGAATGGCATAGTCAGGGAAATTGGTCAGGGGAAAAATATAAATTGAATTTTTTTTTTACTAAAAAACGGTTTTATAAAAACCATTTTTAATTAAGTCAGATTTAATTACACGTCAAGTAAAAACGGTTTTTGAAAAGTCTATTTTTCGAGCTATTTTTTATTCACAAAAATCGACTTTGGTAAAGCCATTTTACCCTATCATGGGAATAAAGAAAAAAAAAAAAAACCCTAGAATGGGAATAAATTTCTAAGAATGGCATAGTCAGGGAAATTGGTCAGGGGAAGAGAGAGAGAGAGAGGATTTATGTGGATAGGGTTTGGTTTGGTATACATAGAGATTCTTTTTTTTTTGGGGGAAATTTGGCTATATACCCCTTTTACCTTCCTTTCATTGTTAGAAGGACTAAGAAAAAAATTATACTTTCTAAACCCCCTCATAATTATAAAATCTTGCATAAAGGACAAAATTTATTATTTAAATATTTTATCAGACTATTATACCCTTACATATACACAATCCAGATACAAAATTTATCTTCTCTCTCGCCTCTCACTTCTAACCCTAGCTTCCTCCATGGCTGGAGCTGTGTCATTCCTAAGCTCCGACGATCTCTCTCTGCATCTTCTCAACTCTCCTCCTTCAACTCTCCTTCAACTGTTCATCTTCTATCTCGTCTCTCTCTTCTAATCCTAGCTTCCTCCATGGCCGGAGCTATGGAGAACTTGCAAGTCGCGCTGATACATATATATATATATATATATATACATATGTGTGTTTGTGTGTTTTGAGATTTGAATTCGAATATATATATATATATATATCTATATATATGTGTGTGTTTGTATCTAACACTTGATAGGGTTGGCTAATTCTTGTGTATGAATGTGTCACATATTACCAACAATTTAGTGATCCCATGCCTCGTTCGTTATTTCATATTTTAATCAGATTTAATATCATGATGTAACATGGATCCCATAGAACTTAAAGTATGAAAAATTGAGATTTCTCTAAAATTTTCAGATTATAGGCCTGATTCAAGGATTATAGGCATGATTCAATGTTTTTCAAAGTAAACATCGATTGATTCAAGGATTATAGGCCTGATTCAAAACTCAAAACTCAAAGTTCCATCGATTTTTCAGAATAAACATCAAATTTCATTTGATAGAACCAGAGTAAAATTTTACTCTGGTTCTATTACTCTGTTTTTTTCATTTGATAGAACCAGAGTAAAATTTTACTTTTATACATAGTAAAATTTTATTTTTATACAGAGTAAAATTTTACTTTTAGCTTCAGAGTCTTACAGTTTACTTATTTTTCAGAGTAAAATTTTACTTTTAGTTTCAGAGTGTAAAATTTTACTCTCATTCATAGCAAAATTTTACTTTTATACAGAGTAAAATTTTACTTTCATATAGAGAAAAATTTTACTCTGAAATATATAGTGAAAATGTCTTAATAGGAGAGCTGATAGATATGAAGGTAAGCATCTCCAACGGTAGTAGGCATTTTACCTATCTAAATATTACTATAAAGTATATATTTTATTTTGCCTATCAACTATTTTATGTTTTTACTCCAACCATGCTCTTTATTTTAGGTATTTATCCAAATACTATTAATTTTATAGAATGCCACGTCAACAACAAAGATGGAGGGAAATGATCCTAATGATTGAATACATTTTGCCTAGCGTTGAAGGCTAGCTACATGTGGCTAGTGAATATGAGTTGAGCCAAAATGCCTAATCATATGCCTAGTGCATTGGAATTGAAAAAAATGAATTACACTAACTATCAGGGGGTTTTGAAAGTACTTATATAATTCTTGTCCTTTTGAAAGATAATTAAATAGTGAGGGGGCTATGACCAAATCCCTCTTTTTTTTCCCCCCATTTTGCCTAAACTTATCCACGATTTGTGTGGTTAGGGTTTGGTTTGGTATACATAGAGAATTTTTTTTTTTTTTTCATTTTACCTAAACTTATCCTTTTGAACAAAGTATTTAAATGCCTGAATTTTTGACTAAACAAAATATAAATTTGAATTTACAGACCGAGCGCCATTTTTTAAATCATCAAAAACAATCCTTATTTTAAGTAAAACCCAAGAAATACATTTATAATTTACATATAATTAGGTAGACTATCCGGATGTAAGGGAAACACTATTGTACACATAACTCAAAAAATATTTATTATATGCGCTTTATAACTAAAAAAGTAAATAATATAATTTCATAATTTTTAGGTCATAATGAAAAAAAAAAATCATAACTAAATAGAATATGAGATATAATTAAAAATCTCATGAATTATAATTAAAATAATATTATAATTAATTTTTTTATCATAATTAAAAATAATAATAATACAATTAAAAAGGTAAATGATATGCCGCGTTGTGTACATTATAATTTCCCAAGATGTAGATAAATCCAACGGAGGTTCAAAGATGTGTGGAGATAAATCCAACGGAGGTTCAAAGATGTGTGGAGTAATAGACTCGTTAGAAACGTTGACAGTTGGTTGCCGAATTTTCCAACCAAATCAATAACCACCAAACAGCCAAACTTACGTCCCCTTGCGCGCGGGCTTTTCTAAGCATAGCCACTCTCTCTCTCTCTCTCTCTCTCGCACATTACTGCTTCAACTCCCCCTTTCACTCCATCCTACTAGGGTTTCACATCTCTCAACCAAATTCAACGTCTTCTTCTCTTCTCTCTGCCTATCCCTCCATTGAATTCATTCATTATGTGGCGCGCACTCTGGCGATCTATCGATCGCTTCTCTCTCCAGCATTTCAAGTGAGTTCTCTCAATTTATGCGCTTGTTTTTGTAGCTCTTTTATCTTGCCAGATATATGCACGTACAAATGTAATGTAGTGAATGAAAAATTGTTGATCTTTTTGGAAATTACAAGTGCTTGATATAGTTTTGAGTTTGAGTGCGCTTGCAGAGTTGTTTTGGGCTCTGTAGTTTTGGATCTTCACGTGGGATTGGTTGATTTTACACCTGGTATGCTTGTACTTCAATTTCAAGTCTTGCTGTGAAATATCCTAGTAGTGGGGATTATTCTTAGGGCAAATTTCATTTTACCCTTGTGGTTTGGCTCTTATGCCGGTTATCCCTACTATCATTTGAAAATAAGCCCATAACTCTAATTGTGGTTTGTGGACTTAAATGCATTACAAGGCCCATTGACGGCTTAAGTGAAAGACTAAAACACATTTGTATATTAGTAACCTTATTTTGCAAACCACAGACATTTTCCATCATTTTATTTTATTGGAAGGCAATGTGCTTTACTCCATGTGCAATTGACCCCTTGATATTAGGAAATGAGCACATAATCCCCTTATGTCTTGGCTTGTGTTTCACACTTGCTGTTAACTTGTTAAATTGGACATAATGGCTGACGGTGCACTTTAGTCCACAAATCACATTGGGGTTATGTGCTTTTTGCCAAATGATACGGTGGTAATCTACACATTGGCCAAACCATAAAAGGGTAATGTGAAATTTGCCATTAATTTTATCGATCCACTTTGCAAATGGGGTTCCCAAGACCTAGAAAGGAGTGCCCTGTCAAATTAAGAATTGTTCTCAAGGAATGCTCCATTTGTAAAAACTTTCATGGCGTTATATGATTAACAACTGCATTCAATCCAAGATTATCATTCAATTCAAGCCTTGGGCCTTACCAAGGCTTGTGAGTGTATTAATAAGATTGCTAGTAAGAATGTTAGTGTCACTAGTATTGTTGCATTGATTAAACAAAATCAATGTCCTTGGCCACTATTGTGGAAATTTTTTGAGAGATTCAAGCAGTTATCAAAGACAACCTTAATCTTGATTGGAAAATGTTTCTTTTTTAACGCTAGTTTAGAATATGTTAAATTCAAACTTAATAGATGCGTTATCTGACTGAGCTAGATGGACAATATGAATGTCCTTTTATGTTTAGAGATGTTTCTTCATACACTCGTCCATTAAAGTAGGAGTTTTAGGAAAACCACTGCTCTAACCAATTAGACATGGACTACAGTTAGATTATCCCAATAAACCCGTAAGACATGTGCCATATGATATAATGTGGGCCACTAATTAAAATATTTAGTTTTACACGATTTCCATTGTTGGTTTGCTTAATAAAGCGGTAATGTTATTCTTCGTAGCCTATGAAATGCATCTTATGTTACTGTTATTATCTACGTCATTTGTATTTGTGAATCCTTTAGCTATGACTTTCCATAAAAGTTATTAGTCTCTCCTTATGTCTACTTCCACTACTTATCATATGCACTCAACTGGTTCCCTTTTGTGAGTCATCCAAGTGCTATTATTACTATTTAAAATTTTTATTTCTGAAGTACCTTAATCCCCTCAATTGTTCACTTTGGCCAAGACAAACATCTGTTATATTCTGAGGTAAACATAAAAAGTAAGTAAAAGAGTGACAGAATAAGGTGATGGGAACCAAGGAAAGAGGAGATTGAAGACACATGTGAGTGAGGAGCAAGAAACGTGGACCAGGAGAATAGGAAACTAGAATTTTTTGGGGATTTAATAGAATTTAGTTTCCCTTTTTATTTATTTTCGTTTCTCTTTTTTCTAATTTCCTTTTTTGGTTATGGAAAGTTGTTTTCTTATGTAGATGAGATTGTGCAATGGTATTCACCCAAAAAAAAGAAAAAAAAAGGGATTGTGCAATGGATCAAGTACCTTTGAATGAATTATTATTGAGAGAAAATATATTTATGAAACCTAGTGTTGTTGTGCCATTTTCAAGTTCTTGGTTCTACACTTTTGGGAGTTTGTGGATTGTCACACCCCGATTTTCAAATATTTAATTAGGCGGAAACTGATTAACCTAAGTGTGAGACTTTTGAAAGAAACTTCATTCTCATTCATTTAATTATCAAAAATCCTTTTAGTTAACAATTTTCTTTACTTATATTGAAAGTCCACACAAGAAAATAATAATACTACGGATGGAAACCATAAACTCACTCTCCGTGTATTGCATTCAATATGACATGTTCTTTACAAACAAAATGCCCTACGAGATTACAATAATAACGAGGGTGTTGCCCTTTACTAAAAGAAAGGTGCTCAGCCAAATAAAACAAATAAAGGCCCAGAGTCAAACATAAAAAAAATAGGAGCATTATGGCTTGTCACCATGTTACAACAATAATGTGACAAAACAATATGTCTGATCCTCAAGCCTGAGGACACCCACTTGCAACTGTTTGGTAGGGTCAAACCACACACTCACCAAATAATCTCATAGCATTCCTTTAAAAGACATGCGAGTATAGTGATACTAGATGTATACATAACATCATGCCATGCCAAATATCCTTGTTTAATTACTTAATCCTTTACGTCCGATATATTTAATTAACCCCACTAGTTAAATAAATAATCAAACAAAATAAGAGAAGACTGTTAACAGGGCCTCAATTACATTTTATTCAATTAACTCATGTCAATTAATTTAAATAATAAAGCAACTACAATAATTGCCAACAGGGCTTCAATACTTACCAACAAGGCAATAAATCCAATTTATTTAATTAACTCAACCCATTTAACTTAAATAAGTAAATAATCTTCAATCATTTGCCAATAGGGCCTTAGGTCCAATTTATTTAATTAACTCACATTGATTAACTTAAATAAATAAATCTTAAACATAATAACGACCAATAGGGCAATTACCCTGAAGCAATCCATATGCAAATCAAGGATCAAATTGAGAGAGAGAAGACAAATGCCCCAATTAGGGGTAAAACCCCCAAGGGCTAGAGAGAGTCCTATCACCTACTTCACCCACTTCACCTACTCCACTACACCTACTCCACCCACTTCACCTACTCCACCTACTACCTATTCTTCTCTTCTATATATAGGAATCATTGTAAACATAACAACATACATCAATCAATAATACATCCATTTTAACCAAAAAAAAAAAAATGTTAAAATTGATGTATTATTGATTGATGTATGTTGTTATGTTTACAATGATTCCTATATATAGAAGAGAAGAATAGGTAGTAGGTGGAGTAGGTGAAGTGGAGTAGGTGAAGTGGGTGGAGTAGGTGTAGTGGAGTATAAAAATAAAAGAGGATAGGAGACACTGTATGGTCGTGTCAGACCGTTGGTGAAGGCACTGTATGGTGGTGTCATAACGTTGTAGAGGACACTGTATGGTTGTGGCAGACCGTTGTAGCAGATAAAGTCTGGATAGGTGACGAGGTCACACCGGACCGATGGAGAAGCTAACCGGAATCAAATATCGGGACAGTTTATAGGGTCATGTCGGACCGTTGTAGATGCTAACCGGAATCAATGTCGGGACAGTTTATGGGGTCATGTCGGACCGTTGGAAAAGCTAACCGGAATCAAATGTCGGGACAGTTTAGGGGGTCATGCCGGACCGTTGGAAAAGCTAACCGGAATCAATGTCGGGACAGTTTAGGGGGTTATGTCGGACCGTTGGAAAGCCTAACCGGAATCAATGTCGGGACAGTTTTATGTGGTCATGCCGGACCGTTGTAAAAGTCGCACCCTCAAAAGGTGTGCCCAATCTTTCAAAAGGCGTGCCATCAAAAGGCGTGCCCAATCCATAAAAAGGCGTGCCATCAAAAGGCGCGCCCATGTTGTCGTTGAGCGCCGAGCGGCGCATGATGCGCGTGTCTGCCTTGGCTATTTAACCAAGACGGAGGCTGAGGCTGAGGCTGAGACAAAAACCGACTAAAAAACCTCCGAAAAACTCTTCGTTTTCTGAGAGAGATACTTTGTAACACTTTGTTGCCCAGAAAATGGCTTCGTCTTCCCGTGGTCTGCTCACTCTCTTTCCAGACCTTAACGAGGCCACAAGAGAGATAACTGGTGCAGTTGCCCTGGAACCTCAACCAAGCGCCTCTGGTTTTGCTCCGTTGAACTTTCCGATGCGGTCTGTGGAGCAAAGAATGGCAGTGCAATCGGATGTTGAGGCCAATCAGTATACATTGAAGTCATGTGTGGAGACCATGACGGCGGTCACAAACTTGTCGCAACGGCTTCAGAGTAGGACAAATGAGGTGCAGCAGTTAAACGCCCAACTGGCTCTGCTCCAGCGCATGTATAAGGATGCGCGAGCAGAGATAAGTGTGCTAAAGGCGGAAAATAAGGAGCTGAAGCGGAAGGCCACCGTGATGTTCCGATTTGGAGGTCCACCATATGCTGCAGTGGAGGAGTAGGGGGGTGTGAATGTGCTTAGTGGCGTGGGAAACACAGAGGCAACACTGTCAAGAGCCGCCCAGGACGGAGGCAAGAAGAAAAGACCGGCGGAAGAGGCGAAGAAGTGAGGTCGGTGGGTGACCGTCTGCAGAAAAGAAAACAAATCTTTTGGTGTTGTGTTTTGGTTTGTTGTTTTCATGTCGGACTGTTGGAAAATACACTGGATTATGGTGTATATAGGCTGCCCAAATATATATACATGGATATATATATATCGAGCCCTCAAAAGTCGCGCGCTCAAAACGCCTTTTGAGAGATTGGGCACACCTTTTGAGGGTGCGACTTTTACAACGGTCCGGCATGACCCCCTAAACTGTCCCGACATTTGATTCCGGTTAGCTTTTTCAACGGTCCAGCATGACCACATAAAACTGTCCCGACATTTGATTTCGGTTAGCTTTTCCAACGGTCTGACATGACCCCCTAAACTGTCCCGACATTTGATTCCGGTTAGCTTTTTCAACGGTCCGGCATGACCACATAAAACTGTCCCGACATTTGATTTCGGTTAGCTTTTCCAACGATCCGACATGACCCCCTAAACTGTCCCGACATTTGATTCCGGTTAGCTTTTCAAACGGTCCGACATGACCCCATAAACTGTCCCGACATTGATTCCGGTTAGCATCTACAACGGTCCGACATGACCCCATAAACTGTCCCGACATTTCTACAACGTTATGACACCCCCATACAGTGTCCTCTACAACGTTATGACACCCCCATACAGTGTCCTCTACAACGTTATGACACCCCCATACAGTGTCCTCTACAACGTTATGACACCACCATACAGTGTCCTCTACAACGTTATGACACCACCATACAGTGCCTTCACCAACGGTCTGACACGACCATACAGTGTCTCCTATCCTCTTTTATTTTTATGTATTTTCTTGTTTTGTTATTCTCTCCAAACTTAAGTTGGTTAGTTCCTATCCCCCTTGAGTTTGCGGGGGGCTGTTAAACCTATCACCTACTTCACCCACTTCACCTACTCCACTACACCTACTCCACCCACTTCACCTACTCCACTTCACCTACTCCACCTACTACCTATTCTTCTCTTCTATATATAGGAATCATTGTAAACATAACAACATACATCAATCAATAATACATCAATTTTAACATGGTATCAAAGCAAGGTTAAGCACTTAGTATTTTTCGCTTTACCGGCGGGCGGCACCCTCGCCTTGGCCGCCCGCCGGACCTCAACCTTGTCCGCTAGAATTTTCTACACATACCTTGAAATTTCTTTAAGTTCACCACCTTCACGCCCAACTCCTTCGAGTCGATGAGTTTCCCTTTTGTGTGCATTTGGTCAACTGGGAGAAGGAGAATGTCTCCAGTGAGGCACTGGAAGCTGCACGTATTGCGTGCAACAAATACATGACCAAGTTTGCTGGAAAGGATGCATTTCACTTGAGAGTGAGGGTACACCCATTCCATGTTCTGCGTATTAATAAGATGCTTTCCTGTGCCGGAGCTGATAGGCTCCAGACTGGTATGCGAGGAGCTTTTGGTAAGCCTCAAGGAACATGTGCACGTGTGGCCATTGGTCAGGTCCTCCTGTCTGTCCGCTGCAAAGATGGAAACAGTCATCATGCCCAGGAAGCTCTGCGTCGTGCAAAGTTCAAGTTCCCTGGTCGTCAAAAGATCATTGTTAGCAGAAAGTGGGGATTCACCAAGTACAACCGTGCTGGATTCAAGTTCCTCTCTCTCTCTGCACCTAGGCTCTCTCTTCTCGGTGGTGCATGAAAACAAACAAGGCAGCATGTTTGGTTTTTCAGAGAGAAACACACGGCGCACATGACATGCATTTACTCTCTCCCTCTCGGCAGACCTATGCACATGGGCACACACTCAACACAGAACCCAGATACACTCACACACGGCACAGACAGACTACACCACACATAAAGCTGCACACCATTCACACTGCCACATACACACACATGCACGACATCCCTCTCTCTTCATCATGTACCCCACTCTCTCTCTCTCATCTTTCCACTTTCAAACTCTATTAATTTCTCAAATAAGGAAAGGTGGTCACGTGAGAAAGGGGAACCATATTTGGATTGGTTGCTAATTTACATCTCTGGTTCATTTTTTATGATGGTTTCTCGATATGTTTTATGAGTCTTTCATATGTTCTCTGCACAAACACTAATAACTAATAAGAGTGCAAATTCATTGAAATTGTGTTACTGCCTGTTTATGCTATCTGAGAAGAAACTTTTGGTCCAATACCCTTTTTTTGTGTGATGATGAATAGTTTTCGAATCACAGAGGCATGTCCATATGGACGGGAAGAAGAGGCCATGTTGCTGAGTGTATCAGAGCGGGTTTAGAACCTAGTATTTTCGCTTCCCCGGCGGGCGGCAACTTCGCCTTGGCCGCCCGCCGGACCTCAACCTTGTCCGCTAGAATTTTCTACACATACCTTGAAATTTCTTTAAGTTCACCACCTTCACGCCCAACTCCTTCGAGTCGATGAGTTTCCCTTTTGTGTGCATTTGGTCAGCTGGGAGAAGGAGAATGTCTCCAGTGAGGCACTGGAAGCTGCACGTATTGCGTGCAACAAATACAAGACCAAGTTTGCTGGAAAGGATGCATTTCACTTGAGAGTGAGGGTACACCCATTCCATGTTCTGCGTATTAATAAGATGCTTTCCTGTGCCGGAGCTGATAGGCTCCAGACTGGTATGCGAGAAGCTTTTGGTAAGCCTCAAGGAACATGTGCACGTGTGGCCACATGGTCAGGTCGTCCTGTTTGTCCGCTGCAAAGATGGAAACAGTCATCATGCCCAGGAAGCTCTGCGTCGTGCAAAGTTCAAGTTCCCTGGTCGTCAAAAGATCATTGTCAGCAGGAAGTGGGGATTCACCAAGTACAACCGTACTGATTATCTTAGGTGGGGATCAGAAAACCGCATTTGCACCTGGGCTCTCTCTTCTCGGTGGTGCATGAAAACAAACAAGGCAGCATGTTTGGTTTTTCAGAGAGAAACACACGGCACACATGACATGCATTTAATCTCTCCCTCTCGGCAGACCTATGCACATGGGCACACACTCAACACACAACCCAGATACACTCACACACGGCACAGACAGACTACACCACACATAAAGCTACACACCATTCACACTGCCACATACACACACATGCACGACATCCCTCTCTCTTCATCATGTACCCCACTCTCTCTCTCTCATCTTTCCACTTTCAAACCCACAATCCTTTTTTTAATCAACCCACTCCCTCTGCTACCATTTCCTTCCCCTAAGCGCCTGTGGATAGCAGCTAGATTATTTTTGGGTGCATCGGCTATCATTTTTCCCCTCTTTCCCTCACATGGGCTTGTCCCCTCTCTCTCCTCCGTTTGATTTCAAAATCCATTATTTTTATTTATTTTCTCCTAACCACTTTCCTTATTTCCCCCATCTTTCATTTTGATTTCAAATATATTCTTATTATTTCTTTATTTATTTTTCTTTCACATTATTTTTAATCTTTTTCAAATTTCATTCATACCATATAGCTTTGCACACCAAACCATATTTTATTCATCTCAGGGATCAACCCCGATCACAATTTAAAAAAAAAAAAAAAACCACAACAACACAAACCACTTCTCTAGTCTCATCCACTAACACAATATCATCTGCAAAAAGTATACATCAGGCCTAAGTTTCACCGAATACTCTGCCGCCGGTCTTTTCTTCTTGCCTCCGTCCTGGGCGGCCCTTGACAGTGCTGCCTCTGTGTTTCCCACGCCACTAAGCACATTCACACCCCCTTACTCTTCCACTGCAGCATATGGTGGACCTCCAAATCGGAACATCACGGTGGCCTTCCGCTTCAGCTACTTATTTTCCGCCTTTAGCACACTTATCTCTGCTCGCGCATCCTTATACATGCGCTGGAGCAGAGCCAGTTGGGCGTTTAACTGCTGCACCTTATTTGTCCTACTCTGAAGCCGTTGCGACAAGTTTGTGACCTCAACATCCGATTGGCCTCAACATCCGATTGCACTGCCATTCTTTGCTCCACAGACCGCATCGGAAAGTTCAACGGAGCAAAACCAGAGGCGCTTAGTTGAGGTTCCAGGGCAACCGCACCAGTTATCTCTCTTGTGGTCTCGTTAAGGTCTGGAAAGAGAGTGAGCAGACCACGGGAAGACGAAGCCATTTTCTGGGCAACAGAGTGTTACAGAGTATCTCTCTCAGAAAACGAAGAGTTTTTCAGAGGTTTTTTAGTCGGTTTTTGTCTCAGCCTCAGCCTCAGCCTCCGTCTTGGTTAAATAGCTAAGGCAGACACGCGCATCATGCGCCGCTCGGCGCTCAACGACAACATGAGCGCGCCTTTTGATGGCACGCCTTTTTATGGATTGGGCACGCCTTTTGATGGCACGCCTTTTGAAAGATTGGGCACACTTTTTGAGGGTGCGACTTTTACAACGGTCCGGCATGACCACATAAAACTGTCCCGACATTGATTCCGGTTAGCTTTTCCAACGGTCCGACATGACCCCCTAAACTGTCCCGACATTGATTCCGGTTAGCTTTTCCAACGGTCCGGCATGACCCCCTAAACTGTCCCGACATTTGATTCCGGTTAGCTTTTTCAACGATCCGGCATGACCACATAAAACTGTCCCGACATTTGATTTCGGTTAGCTTTTCCAACGGTCTGACATGACCCCCTAATCTGTCCCGACATTTGATTCCGGTTAGCTTTTCCAACGGTCCGACATGACCCCATAAACTGTCCCGACATTGATTCCGGTTAGCATCTACAACGGTCCGACATGACCCCATAAACTGTCCCGACATTTGATTCCGGTTAGCTTCTCCATCGGTCCGGTGTGACCTCGTCACATGTCCAGACTTTATCTACTACAACGGTCTGCCACAACCATACAGTGTCCTCTACAACGTTATGACACCACCATACAGTGCCTTCACCAACGGTCTGACATGACCATACAGTGTCTCCTATCCTCTTTTATTTTTATGTATTTTCTTATTTTGTTACTATCTCCAAACTCAAGTTGGTTAGTTCTTATCCCCCTTGAGTTTGCGGGGGGCTGTTAAACCTATCACCTACTTTACCCACTTCACCTACTCCACTACACCTACTCCACCCACTTCACCTACTCCACTTCACCTACTCCACCTACTACCTATTCTTCTCTTCTATATATAGGAATCATTGTAAACATAATAACATACATCAATCAATAATACATCAATTTTAACAGAGAGAAACCAAGCTAACTCTATTCACAATGTATATTCTTTATTCCAAAACTAAGTACAATGGGTATTATTACATCACCTATTTATAGACTACAACAAACAAGCTATTTAACAGACACCTAATCTATTTATTCTACTACATCCTACTTCCCCTCTCTAAGAAACTTGCCCTCAAGTTTAAATAGCAACTGAGTGTGCTCAATGTAACACCATGCATTGAATCTGAGGCGAGGAATAGGTGCTACATCTCCATGCTCAACACAAACATAGCAATCTCAATTCATTCTTCCTTGAATACATGTAATTACATCCTTAGCTAAACAACCATAGGTGCAGACTGACAACCCCCATCATGCCCTCCATACACTCTCCATTTCTTGAGCCTTCATCTCTGATTGGCACACTGGTGCAGAGACATACTCATTCAATTGGAATGAGACCAATATACTAGCAAAAGGATACCTTCCAAAGCAAGGGTGAAGAATGTGACAAAAGATGAAAGGATCGACTAGCACAAGGATACCTTCCAAAGCAAGGAGTAAATATAAATATATTCATGTAAAGAGACCAATACACACATGTATATATAGATTAAGGTGAAGTTCTCCAAATTAAGCATTGAAAATTCTAAGTCAAAATGTCACACAAATTCCATTATCTATTTTGTTTATATTCTATGCCATGCATACACACAAACACACACACATGTGTGTGTGTAGAGGGAGAGAGAATGAATGTGGGAGGCTTCCATGGAAGGCCGTGGTTATAGCAGTGGTGGCCTTGGGTTATTGGAAGAAGTGAGAGAGAACAAAAGAAAGATGAGAGGGAAAAGTTTTGTGGCATTGAAAGGAAGGAGGAGACTAGGAGCAAGAAGGAAGGTGAAAAGAAAGAAAAGGAAGGGAAAATAAAAACTAAAAATTAGAAAGAGGGAAAAACTTCAATTGGTACTTTCCTTAACCTAATACTTGGCTTTTGTTTTTGACCTTGGGGTTTGTTACAATATTGTTGCATAACTTTCATTACATCCTTAAGCACTTCTTCTACCTTCCCTACTTGTTTTGACAAAAATTCAACTCCTTTTACATCCTTGCTTCCCACCGTATTTTCTAAGAACACAAGAAAGGGGATTAATGATGCTTAAGGTAATATACACATATATCAAATAATGTCTAGTCTAGCATGTAACACATAGCACATATAGTTTACACAGTTAGAAGGTTGCACTATATACATATACCTATAACACATTGGTAGGACAACCTATTCATTCCCATAAAATTTACCCAGAATTTCTGATTTGAAGCTATGTTGGCGCCGAATGTGATTCCAATCAAATTTTCAAGGTCATTCAGCAAGGGCATGGGACTCTAGGGTTCAATACCTCAAGTTATAGGTTATCCATTGAACAACAAATATTCTATACACCTGACACTCATTATATTTCACAATCAACAAACTCCAATCAAATCTTATGATTTTCTTGTGAGATCAAGATCCAATGATGCTTCCAAACTTTTATACCTCTACGATATGGCTATACACATGCCTAAATACACCTAGATACAAACACATACATAGCATGAATGCATTCCTAAAGTTTCATTCTAAGGAAACCTATTGCTCTGAGGCCCCGTTTGATTGTCCACATTAGATATAAGAGTTTGAGGAGGATATGTAATACCTAAGGATAAAAATGGGATATAATATATTGTAGGATATGAAATGGATAATATATACTGTGAGGTTACTATGTTTGGTTAAGATAGGATATAGGATGTGATAAGAGGAGGGTGATTATTTTTTACATTTGGATAAAAGATTCCCTATATCCAATGTTGGGGGATATACAATACTATGTTGGGGGGGAGCGGTGGTATTGCATATCCCCCTTTTTGTATCATATATTATCCAGACTTCCTATATCCAGAGCAACCAAACACGGGATATAGGGAGACAAGAAAACATGTGGGACCCACCTCATATTATATCCGGCCCATATAGGGCCTAAAGGACTAAGTGTGTGAAAATAAGTGGGACCCACCTCATATTATATCCGGCCCATATAGGGCCTAAAGGACTAAGTGTGTGAAAATAAGGCTGTGCTCTGATACCACTCTGTCACGATCTCAACCCGCCCCAAACAGGATAGTGTAGTGATCAGCTAGTAGTCCTTGACTACCAAAGACCTAATTAAACAAAAAGCAAGTTGGACTCTTATAATAATTGGGGAAAATGTTGTTTTAAATTTTGGAAGCCATTAGTCACTTTAGTTAGAGTCTATTAAATCCAATTGAACATCCATTTAGAGCGGTGCTTAGCTATTTGTAATGAAACATACATCGTTCTTGATTACATACATATTTATAAAGGATACAACACCTACAAGACTAATTACAACCCTCTTCTCTCTACCATATATGCACAAATTTCAAGGAACTAACTTCTTTATGATGCTTCTTTTGTACCTGCAAACATATAGGGGAGAGGGGTGAGTCATTGCCCAATGAATAATAATAAAGTAAAGCGGTAAATGAATGAACACCGATGAGCTTTATAAACATAACATCAAAACATAGCTTGAACATAGCTTAACTTAAGGAAGATGATACAAAACTTGACTTGCACATAATGATGAACACTCCAAGGAACAAGGTGTTTAACCAGCCTGGGTACCGGTTAAACAACCCACCACGAGGGTGGCAAGGTGAACTCAGCCATGAAGACGTTATTGGCACAAGTCCCCCAATAACTAGGACTTCCAAGGGTGTCATCTTTATACATGATACGAAAATATAGGATGTTCATTCATAGCAAACAATAACATAGCTTTCATAAACATAATAAGCCTTGCATTTGAAACATAGTTTATCAAACATAGCGTTACTAAATTACTAGCAAATGGCTCCTTGAACAAGGGATTACTCCTCCGAGTGCTTGACCTACACAAAGCATAAGCAAGGCATTGAAAACACTTAAACTAGCAAGCTTCTAAATTCATTTCAAGTGTTTTAACTTAGCTTAGTGTTTCTTAATCTTTACTTAGATTATCCAAGATTTTTCTAAGCCTAATTCAAGTCTAAGTCAAGTGTCAAATATGTATCAAATAGATGCCTAGAAGCATCCTAGGTGATTAAGGCTTGATGAATATTGAAGTGTGCTAAAGACGTATGTTGAAGGGCCCTAAGTATTCCACAACAATGTCATATGCTTTGCATTGAAAAATATCATGTTTAGATGTTTAAGGTTTAAGGAAATAGGAAGAAATGAAAGAGAAATAAGTTAGGAAAGGAATTAGCATGAAATGGTTAGGATGAAAGGGAGAAGCCTTCACTAATTTAAACATATCTTTCTGTATATTTAGAATTTGGATGTGAAAGTATCACCATTGGAAACTAGACTTCCAGGACTTAAATTTAGACTCAAAAATCATTTAAAACTGAGTCCAGATGAGAGAGATATCCCTATTTGAAATTGGGTTAAAACAAGGATGCCACACGTGCGGGGATCAGGGCTGCATGTGCGGTTTTTGCAGTCCCAAAAATTGGTTTCTGAAAGGTCTAACTGCACGTGTGGGGCTCAGGGCCGCACATGCGGAAGTGGCTGTTCGAAATTTCTTGTTTTGGTCCGAAAACCTCACTCTTTTCTCATCTTTTTCCCCTTCTTTTTAAGATTCCAAAGCATGATTTTACGCGCATAAAACTCTTGAAATTGTCATGAAAAGATCATCCTTTTCAATGCAACATCATCAAAAAATGTTTTATTTCAAGGCATAAAGATTAAAACATATGTTTTGTCAAGAACTTCATGAACTCTTCTTTCAATTCAAAGCCCTCCTTTATATCTTTGAAAACATGGAATCAAACTTGCCAAACTCTTGAAAATCATATGAACACAAGAGGATAAAGCTTCTTTTAAAACAAGAACATCAAAACAAGATCATAATGGTATGAATCTAAACCACCTAGCTTTTTCTTCAACCTATTTTTATCTTTCCATTCCTTTTCTTCATATCTCCAACATATCTCCAATAATAACCCAAATTAATCCTATCTTTTCTTTAATCTTAGATGGGAGGAAGAATTTCCGTAAGAATTAGGGCTCAAATCTTACCTTAGAATGATTAAGGGTGATTTTTGACAAGGTTCTTCATGCCTTCTCCTTTTCTCTTCTTCTTTCTCCTCTTCTCCTTCTTTCTCTAGCAGATTTTTCTCTTCTTGTTTGGCTTTATAAGGCAAGGTAGGACAAGAGTAGAGTTGAGTTGAGACAAAAAGGGAGGTGTATGCATCACCTACTTGTTTGCTTCACCAAATTCCTTAATTCATTAATTTAATTAATCAATCTTAGTTATTATTAATCAAGGTTAGCCTCTAATTAATCAAGGTTTAACTTAATCTTGCTTAACTTAATTAATCACGATTAAGACTCACTAATCTTACTTAAATAACACTAATCCGGATTAACAAAATAATATAACATTAAAATAAGAAGCACATTAATCTAAGGTCTTTAAACTCCTTAATTAAAGTTTCTTAGGTGATCTAAGCATTCAATATCCATATCAAAATTCATCTCCTAACTCCATGTTACTTATCAATTCGCACACCAAGGTTCTATTTCTAAATTGTCTTAGGTTTTTCATCAATCACAAGTATCCTTAAATCCCTTCTTCTTAGGCCCTCTTCCTCAAGTCTTTTTAACTACTCACTTCTATGCTTTTACTTAAAGTATTCTGTATGGTGAGATAACTAACCTGACTTGAGACATTCAAGGATATGGTACGTGGCATTATTTGGGGTGTCACAATAATGCAATAAGAAAGTAGCCATGGTGATACTGCAATTCATTTATCTAGATAATGGAAATAAAAAAAAGAAGTTTAAAAATTGTTACATGCCTTTTACTTTTTGGTTTCATAATTTCAATGTAGAGTCACTCTTTTTTATTTTTCATTTTTCTGTACATCTAAAATCATTCACTAGGAAGCACGGATGTGGGTTTGGTTACATTACAGGTACGCCGATATGGCAAAACCTAAAAAAAGATAGGATATGAGTACGGATGGGGTATGCCCATAAAAAATATATTTTTATTATTTGTAGCAAATAATGCATGATATAATAACAACTAGAAAATCAAATGCAAAATATAATTGGAGTAGCAATTAAAGAAACAGTTAACAATGGATGGAGATGGTAGGAAAAACAAAGATGAAGATGGGTACTCCAACCGAGTGAGAGGGTTGTTGTAAAAAACATAGAAGATGGAGAGGGATAGTTGGAGAGAAGGGGAAGCCAACAAGGAACAGGAAGTATTTTTAAATTTTTTGATAATTGCAAAAATATACCCTTTAAAAATAGGCACAATATAGTTGGTGTAGTACCCTTACATTTAAAAAAAAATAAAAAATTTATGCCCCAATGTACCCACAAAAGTACCAGAGCCGTACGTATCCCATACTTGAGCCGTACCCAACATTCAAAAAGTACCAGATATGTATTTCTCATACCCAGTATGCTTGTAGCTGTACTGGTATGCTTATTCGTACTAGGTAACTACTCTATACTCATGCGACAATATTTTTGGAGTACCGATGCTTTATAGATCTTTCATAAATGGTGTAACTAACATCATTGACAATAGTTTTAATTAATTAGATATTTCACCAGAAATGTCATTGTTTTTTTTATTAGTTTATTTGTGAAGGGTCTGTTTGTTCTCTGGTTTTTCTCTAAATATTGTTTGTAATTGAGAGCTCATTTTATCTACATTTGGTTACAGATATATAATTAATGAATTGCGGGTGATCAAAGTAGTGGACAAACTTAACAAGGTACTGCAGTTGGAGTTATAAAATATTATCCACTATAACTTTTCCTCTATATAAAAAAAAAAAGGACAAGAAAAAGAAAAAGAAAAAAAACAGTTCTCGATAAACCCAGACATATCAAGCTTAACAAGGTACCCTTTTTTGTCCTCTTTCTGATCTCATAATTCATGTTTTTATCGTTCCAGGAATTAGTTGTAGATTTACTGCAATCCTTAGTGGAAATAGTCACATATGGTGATAGACACGACCCGATGATTTTTGAGTACACATTCTTACTCTACAACTTGTTATTTGGGATTCATATATTTCTGTACCTTCATGATTTTTTGAGAGTTGAGTTTTTTCCCCTCTTCCTTTTTCTAAACTTCACAGATGCTTCATGGAATATCAAGTATTAGGAGAGTTTGTTCGTGTGCTAAAGATCAGTAAAAATTCAAGAATTGAGGCACCATTGCTTCAATATCTCAGCATAATGATTCAAAATATGGATACCGAACATGCAATTTGTAAGACAAATGATATTAGATGATCTTCTTTCCTCCCTCTTTCTCTCGTTTCTGTGGCTGTGGTGTTCATTCACGTGCATGTGTAATGCTAGCACTTGCTTGATTATTACTTTTTCTTTGCTTTTTCAGCATAATGACTAGAACATGGGTGAACACGTAAAGTGTCATGTGTAATCTCCTTAATATACACATTCTTTCTCCTCTGTGTGTTGTTTTGGTGACTGTCACAGTACTAGGCAGATTTTTTGTTTAAAACGTGGATGTAAGCATGAAATTTGTGAAATGTTAGTTTCGTTAACAAGGAACAAAAGTTTGTTTCACTTCCATCAAAATGGCTGAAACGTCTTCCTTTCCTTGGAAACCAAAATGAAACATTAATGGAATACCAAAATTACAATGTTTCCACCAAAATGCACTGAAACAGTATGAAACATACCGAAATTGACGTAGCGGAACATACACAGGAACTAGATATCGTTTAGTAGACGAAAGGGGATCTTGAACCATGAAAAAATAGAATCTTGAATCCTCAAAGAAGAGAAACTCTTAATATTATTGATAAAAGGTTGATTTGCCCTTAGGCTTACATAGGTATTTATACTAAACCAAGTCTTGAAGACCAACAATCTAAAAATTAGGAAACAACCTAACTCAAGCAATCTAAAAATTAGGAAACAACCAACGAGCTTACTTCTTGTAGAACAAGTAACCTACTTGTTTGGGAATTGGCTATTTTAGTTGGGTTTTGGCTTTTCACAAAAAGACGTATATGAAAGTTGAGAGAGTTATATGATAACTTGTAGTGGCTTTTTGGCTTTTTAGCTAAAAACCATACTAATGCATGATGATTAGGGCAGCCACAAATCTGGGTTTTTGGGGCTGATTTTAATTGGATTTTATGACTGAAATTGCAATAAAAGTATAGGGGACAAGTAGGGTTTGTTAGGGTAAGAGTTTAAGCATGTAAAGAAGGGATTTTGACACTATTTTGGGGCTGTGAACAGTATCCGTGTACATTGTTTGGGCTGTTAACAAGTACAGAATACAAGAGGGAAAGAAGGAGAAGAAGATAGATATAGGAATCACTCCTAGAATTCCTTAGGCATCACACCTAAGGTTTGATTGCATCACACAATCCATAAGAAGCTTCAAGAGCTCTGAAAATTCTCTAAAATATTAGCTCTATTAAATTATAAGTGTTATATAGCTTTATATAGAACTAAGAGACTTCCTAAACCAACTATAACCAAAAAAAGAAACTACTATAATATCTTTTGACTTAAAAAACTAATCTAAGACTAAATAAGAAACAAAACAAATAGTAATTAAATTATTTGACCCACAAGATGACCATGGGCGACCCCTACAGCCGATGACAACAATAATGAAAATTTCCAAAATACCCTTGACCTTAAAAATTCTAGAAAAACATAAAAATAATAATAAAATAAGACTCTAATAATACTAGAAATATAATTATACTTGGTTACTATTGGTTTCTCTTTAAAATCATGCCAAGTTTCAAATATCGCTACTACTTTGAATTTAGTCTTTCTTGAGTTTCTTATACTCTGTATCATTCTCCCTTGGTTGGAAAAAACTCGACCTTGAGTTTTGAAGTGTTGAAGTATTAGAATCCACAACTTTGAAATTGCATCCATGGGTTCATATTAAAATCTTTAAGTTGTTGCCGCCTTTTCTTTGTTGGAGATAGGAACAAAAATATTTTGAGAAATTGATCTTGTTCTTCATGATACTAAATATGTCAGGAATGACAAATCAATAGAAGGAATTGAAACATCATTGAATGGATTCAAATCTAGGGCTTCAAAATTCATTCCGTGCATTATGTTCTCATTTGGCTTTACAAGGCATTGTTTGTAGTCAAGTTGAATACTTCCACCCACAACATTAATTCTGGATTCCAAACTCATCCTCCTTTTCAACCAATGTTTAATCATGCAATTCAACATTGCCATCCCTTTGAAAAATATCAGGATCTGTCAAAGAGAATTTAGGCAGCAAATTGGTGGCCTGTAAAGCCATATTTTGCTCAGAACTAGCAGCTGGTTGCGTCAATTCTTCAGTCCCTACAGCTTCTATAGCATCCAATTCCTCACTTTGGACTCTAGCCTGTACTTGAGTAATAACTAGATCTTCTTGAGGTGCTTTTGGATCATCAATAAGTGCCTTGTTATCCTTCAAAATCTGGTTTCGAACATATTCATTGGCTTGCAACTTCAATCGTGTACAGTTTTCATCCCTAAAAACAATATTTGGTTTTGGTGCATTTTCTTGTGGCTTTTCTACATCTTGTGTCACTTTAGCTTTTTGTTTAGGAGTTTTTGTTGGCGTCTGTTGTTGGAAAATCTTTCCATTATGTGCAGGCTTCAAAACTATAGATTTCTCCTTAAATTTTACAAAAAACTCAAATTGTATAGCTGTTTCAATAGCATCTTTGAGATCTTCCAATATGCATGAGCATCTCTATTTTAATTCCAAATCTCAATCCACTTTTGAAACGAGCAAGAGTCATCAGTTTAGTTTTGGCTTAAGTTACCAGAAATTGCTAAGGAGGAGGCAATTTGCGATTTGGATCATATGATCCCAATCGCGGGTTGTTTGCAAACTAGATTGCAGATTTGGGCGTTCCAATGAAAAATCGAAAGAACGAAGAAGAGAACAATACTTGCTATGAAACTTATAGGTTAATGATGGTGGGATTTTCCGATTCATCATCGCTGCTTTCCCTATGCGTTGCTGTCATCATTTGTTGCTTTTGCATCGTCAACCACCAAATCAAGACAATAGACTGATTGACGAAACTGGTTGGTGCTTCTTTGTCTCTAATTGCGATTGTCAAAGATGAAAGGGTTTGACTTTTTGAACTGGAACAGACTTTTTGGAATAGACTTTTTGCAAGTATGGAAATTAGTTCAAGTAGTTTAATTTCTATAATTCCATTGTGAAGAAAAAATCTCATTTGATTAAAACTATATATAAAAATTCTTATATGTACACAATCATACATTTCTATAAATATTACTAAATGATCCAAAAAATTGTTCCACATTCCGAACAAATGTATTTCGTTTTGACTAAGCGATCTGAAGAAGCCTACCCCTACGGTATGACGTTCCGCAAGGCATGCAATACTACGTTCCCATTCCCGTTCCTGTTCTGCGTACCACAACGATTCGCGATCTAGGTGACTTAGCATTCGACAACTCTAGGCTTGATAAATAACTCCTTATATTTTCTTGCATAATCAATCACAAACATGTTACCTTGCTCAAGAGTATACAGTTGATCAAGAAAATCATCTTGAAGATCCCTTAGACAAATTTTTTCTCTAAGCAGTGCTTTACCCTCTTCCCAAGTCAATCCATTTGTATAGGATCTCCCACAATGTGAAAACATCATGGTGGAAACTTAAGTTCTGATACCAAACTGATGTAGGACAATTAGGGCAGCAGCAAATCTGGGCTTTTGGGGCTGATTTTAATTGGATTTTATGGCTGAAATTGCAATAAAAGTATAGGGGACAAGAAGGGTTTGTTTAGGGTAAAAAATGGGTAAGAGTTTAAGCATGAAAAGATGGGATTTTGAAATTGTTTTAGGGGCTGTGAACGGTGTCTGTGAACAGTGTTTGGGCTGTTAAAAAGTGCAAAAAATACTAGAGGGAAAGAAGGAGCAGAAGAAGATAGATCTAGGAGTCATTTCTAGAGTTCCTTAGGCATCACACATAGAGTTTGATTGCATCATACAATCCATAAGAAGCTTCAAAAGCTATGAAAATTCTCTAAAATATTAGCTCTATTAAATTATAAGCATTACATGGCTTTATATAAAAGTAGGAGACTTCCTAAACCAAGTAAGAAACTTAATAATCCTAGGATAGTCATACCAAATTATAAGATTCTTAATAAAATAAAGTAAAAATACTGAAACTCTTAAAATCTTGTGATATATCAGATCTTAGTAGTAGGAATAGTTCAACTTGCTCACGATTCTTCCTCAAAAGCGTGATTTTGCTCTTCTGACTTAGATTTGTAAAAGAATCGCGAGTTTGATGCGAGAGAAACGCGAATCTTATCGATTCCTAAATACAGAAGAAACGAAATAGCCATAAATACAGAAGAAACGAAAAAGGAGAGAGCAAGGACTTGGTCGAGCCAAGGTGCAAAATAAAAGGCGGTCGCTCGAGCGGTGACTTGGTCGCTCGAGCCAACTACAAATGTCTGCAAAAATACTGGATGCATGAAATGTGCGCTCGAGCGACAGATTGTTTGGTCGAGCGGTGAGGCAGAATTCTAAAATTTCCATAACAGAGGTTGAACTTCAAAACACATGTTTAGATTATGGATTCATGCGAGACTTGTCCATATACTTGAAAACATGTAATTAAACATAAACACTTGATGATTTACAAATCTTATGCTGAAAACTTCATGAATTTACCAAAATTAAACCTTGTTTCTTCATGCATGTATGAACCTCAACTCCTTTTCTTGCTTTTCAAACACATGCTCTTTAATTCATATATTCATAAAATTCAACCTTCGAAACCATAGAAATCAATGATGCATGTATGAGATAGTTTCAAAACTCAACATGGATAATAAATTCATGATCAAATATGAAGAATCTTAACAAAATCATGCATGCATGTATGTCTAAACTTCCAATTCATCATCTTTAAGCTTATTACTTGTATGTAATCATATATCTTCTTGAATTCACATCTTTGATGACTTAAACTCTTGAATTATTGTTCAAACTTTTACCTAAGGCCTTCAATGATACCAATTCTAGGAAAACTTGAGTTGTCTTCCTCAATTCTTCAATCCTTAAGCAAAATTCTTCAAGTTGAGCTCTTCTCTCTCTAAAATGAACTCTCCCTCTCTCTAGAACTCTCCTCCAGCAGATTTTGAGCTCAAAACAATGAGCTTAATCTCATTCTTAACATATATATAGCTTAATTAACTTAATACACCAATCAAGGATTAAGCTAGTTAATTGAGGTTAAGGTAATTGATCAAAAGCTTAATTTAATTGATTTAATCTAATTAATTTATTCTGAATCAAATTTTAATCAAATTTCCCATAAGGCTCTAAAAATTATGTCATTCACAATAAACTAACCAATTTCAGTTTCTGACGCCATTAAGTCTTCAATTTCAGATAATAACAGAAATCTCAACAAACATTCCTACGGTTAACCAACATGAATCCAAAAATCGCATCAAACATATAATTAGCATTCAAATTCACCCTAAGCACATAAACACATACAAAATTAAAAGATTAAAGGCATAATACGTGATGGGGTTGTCACACTTAAAGAATCGATCATGAACTCAACTAGATCATTTTTCCCTTGCTTTACCTCTTCATAGTCTTCCGCAAACCTCTTTGCCACAGTAAATTCGGTGACCTTTCCTTCATCAATTTCAATTTTCTCACTGTTGTTGCATTCAAATCAGTCTTCTACTTCTATTGAATCTTTGTTTGGGTCTTTTCAAAATTATCTCAAAATCCTTTTTTTTTTTTTTTAATGCTTGGTTGATCATAACAAGTTTGTTGGCTTGTGGAACACGACCAACCTATACCCGACAAACCCGTTGACTTGTTCCTTGAATAATTTGTATCCACAGTTGCATAATAGTTATAAAATAGTGAAAAGTAGTGAATCAAAATTACCTTGGAACAATTGTTTCAACTCAAGTGTTCTATGACATTGTTGATACATTTGTCTATGATTTGGTTGAAGGCATCTGGCGATCATCAACTTCATCTTATACCACGTCATAATAGATTGTTTGTACAATCGCCTTCAATTTCAATAAGGAAGCTATGCTTCGGAAAGAAGAGAAGCAAACAGAACCTTTTCTACTTGACCGCTAACTCATGAACAAAGTTGTCTTTTGCCGCCTCTCATGCAGCAAATGAGTGGATCTTCACTAAAAGCTGGCTCTATTGGTGAATGGATAGCACCCCTCACTCTACCATGAGAACAAAGAAAGCCGCACTATCTCCTTGGAATTTTGCCTACCGCCCTTCGGTGGTATAGTAGGATGGATAGCAAAGCCGCCTTCTGTCCTTAGAGACACAACTTTGGAACTTAGGTGCAACCTATGAAGCATGGGACTTTGACAAACATGCCATACCCGTACCGGACACTTGTATTTTTGCATACGCACCTTTTGTAAGAAACATGTACCAAATTTTTGCTTCTTAATTTTTGCCATACCTCAAACGTCCCTAGCATATAACCAAGCCATACCATTCCTTAGTTGGAACAATATTTTCTTCTAATACATAGGTGAAATTAGTTTCGTTAGACTCTATTTATTTGTTATTTTATTTATTTTGTAAGTTACTTAATATAATGACATTTAATTTTGGTTTATATCTTTACTTTTTGTCATTAAATAGGAATTGTAGGTTGAATCTTAACAAACTAAACCATTTAACTAATTTTTACTTTACTCCAAATTAAAAATTAATATTTTTTTACAAACATACCCTACCTTACCCGTACCCATACCCTACTTTTTTTTATTTTACCATATTGACGTACTAGTACCCGTACATGTGCTTCACAGGGTGCAATATATTTGGCTTGCTTTTCTTTAGAAAATTTACACTAAGAATTTGTCAACTTTGTGAAACCAATATACAAATTCCTCGACATAGAAAGAAGCATTAAATGTGGAAATTTCTAGTTTACCTGATAATCTGAAAAGTCATGATTCATGCGTTTATGCCTATTGAACATGTCACCAAATTTTCTTTGCCTCCTTGCCGACTTATATTAGCCATAATCCTCAAATAACTCATCTTCATATTTGTCCTCACTATTGATTTCATAATAAGAACATTTCAAGATGGTTTGGCTAATAGGTTGGCTTCGGCCAAATCCATTAGCGTAATTCCTAGTAACATTGTGACTATCAAGTTGGCCTTGGGCAAATCCCTTGGCACAAATCCTGTTATATCATTCCCCACGATCTTTGTCAATAAGGTTTGCTCTTCCTACTCCAATGAATGACATTGAGCTAGGAGAATCCTTGACTTGATGCAATGGAATACACACGATAACTAGATATTGCTCTAGTGGATGAAAAGGGCTCTTGAATCCACGAGAAAAATAGAACCTTGAATTCACAAGAAAGAGTAATTCTGAATATCATGATAAAAAGTTGATTTTCCTTTAAGTTTACATAGGTACTTATGCTAAACCAAGTCCAAGAGACCAAGTAATCTTGGAAACCAAACAATTTAAAAATTAGGAAACAACCTAAATCAAGCAATCTAGAAATTAGGAAACAGCCAATTATTGAAAAGCAAGTAATCTAAAAATTAAGAAAACAAATTCAATACAAATTAAGAAACCTAATAATTCTAGGATATTCATACCAATTTATAAGATTCCTAATAAAATGCTAATTTAAAAAATTCTAATATATATATATATATATAGAAACTTTTAAATTCTTGTTCTCCATCAGAAACAAAGAATCGATTTGACACTGATAAGGAATATCCAACTATGATCATTTATATTTGCCTCTTTTTGTCAAAAGGAAAGATTTGAGAAAACAAAGAAAAATATTGAATTTATTAAAGAATCTGAGAAAATAGAAAGGAGAAGAGCAGAGATATAAAGGAGAAAATAAAATTTGCATGATTAAGTCACTTATTCTTTTTATTTGTTAGTGCAGAGTATCTTTTATATATATATATATATTCGTTGATTTTTCTTTTTTCTTTTTAATCTTAACCAGCAGAGTTTTACATTTTTTAAATATATTTTTCTTAGAATTGGAAACTTCCTTCTCCAACTAAGCTTTTAAACCTTTTGTTTATGAGCTTCTAATATTGATAGACCTTAACATGTCCGATGACTTAATTATTGAGGATGTATTAACATTAACATTTTCACACTTTTCCAATTTTTTTTTTTTTTTCATTTTCCTTTTCCGAAACATCCATTTCCTAGCTAACTGAAACAACATACATAAATGAAATTGCGATCCTTGTTTGTGATCATGTTTGTTATCTCCTTGAAGGTTCACATTTTCTCAAGTTTGCATGCATCTCATTAGGGCTTATGCACCATAACATGAGCAAACTCCTTGAGTGTTCATTTTGCCATCACTCATGCTATTTAATTGTGTCCAAGCGTGTGCATGCACACTTGTATCTTTCTTCTGGAGTTTGGGCTGGGGGAGGGTTTGTGGAGCTTTGATCCAAGAATTGTTTCTACATGAAGCTTTCAGCACCTCACAAAAGATAGGCCACTGCCTGCATGAGCAATGAGGCTGTATTATGTTCTTTACTATGTTGTCCCCTTTAAAAGAGTTTATTTATTTGTTTAATCTCCAATGGTTGTTTGTACTTTTTTCTGATTTAATGTTCATATTTGAATGCTGCAGATTACTGTTTAAGCAATGACTATATCAACAGCATAATAACCCATCAGTACGAATTTGATGGGGGAGATCTAGCTCCTTATTATGTATCATTTTTAAGGTTAGATTACCTTGCTTCCTCTTTATCCCTGCTCTGTTTTCCTTTATGTTAATGATGATGACACATTTACATTGCCTAGTTTCTGGTTGGGTTTATTAGCTTCTATTGTTTTTTCTTACTTTTTTTCTTGTTTCTTTGCCTTACCATCTCAAATTTGATTCAGAGCAGTGAGCAGCAAATTGAACAGAGATACTCTCTGTCTTCTTGTGAAGGTTCACGAGGTAAATTGACACTCATAGATGTAGGAAAAATTGTCAATTTTTGCTGAATGCTTTAGGTTTAAATGCTATAATATGTTGGTTTAAATGATCATGAGGCAAATATGTTGAAGAACGTCACAACTCTCGTACAAATATGTTGAATCCAAAAGATTACAGAATTATAGGGAAAACAAGAGAATTTTCTCAAACAGAACTGTGCATTATTAATCAACTGAAGAGCCGTCGAGGCTTTGATGCAGGACTAGTAGGGACTACTTTCCCACAAGTAGTGAGCCCGGGATTGGTGTACTGGAAGCTGCAACAACAGATTTATAGGGCTGGATTTGGTGGATTTTGTGACTGCAAAAGTATCTATAAAATAGGTGTTTTAAGGGCTTGTAAAAAGGTAAGGTTTTGGAAATGAGAACACAAGTGTTTAGGGGGGGCTGTTGGGTGGCTGTTCTAAGCATTGTGGAACAGTGACCTTGCTGGGGGGAGAGAGAGAGGTGCTTTTGTCATGACCCCATCCCGCCCCAAACAGGATAGTGGCTATGACCAGTTAGTAGTGTCTAACTACCAAAGGCCTGGCAAGACAAGACAACGCTAAACTATAATCTTGGGGCTTAAGCGAAATAACCTGTTCATTATATTAAGCCAAAATCCATTCAGAGCAAGTGCGTAAGTACGATGATAACAAAGCAAGCATACTTTTTATTTATTTGCCTTGATAATTACATGTTCAAGCAACAAAAGAAAAGAGTACAACATCAAAAGACGTCCTTAAAAAAAAAAAACATATAAATAAAACTCTCGTCTCAAGGTTACAACTTTCCAAAAAGAAAACAAAATAAAAGAAAGGCAAAACTCTAGTGCAACTCTTCTTCGTGTCCTTGTTCTTCTTCTTCGCCTATAAACATATAAGGGAGAGGGGTGAGCCATTGCCCAATGAATAGTAATAAAGTGAGGCGGTAAATGAATGAACATTGTGATGTTCATTAACTTTTACAAGACAAAACATAACTTGACTTGCAAACAAAATTCATAGTGATGAGCATTTCAAGGATTACAAGGTGTTCTTAACCGGCCTGGATACTGGCTAAATGTAAAAAAGGTGAGCTCGGCCATCATACATGATTGGATATTCCCCCAATTGTGAGCCATGATCCATGAATGTCATCTAAATACATGATAAAAGAATATAGAATGTTCATTCATAGCAAAACATAACAGAGTTTATAAACATAATCAACGTTTGCATTGAAAACATATTTGATTAAACATAGCGTTACTAAATCACCACTCACAGATGGCTCGGTTAGATAAAGGGTTTCCTTCTTCCGATGCTTGACTTACATCAAACAATAACAAAACAATTAAGTACTTGACTAATTAGAACAAGCTTAACAAACCGAATGCTTAACTTTGCTTAATGTTTTCTTTAAACTTTTCTAAGTGTTTAGCATTGTTCTAGGTCTAGTTCAAGCTTTAACTAAGTGTCAAATGCGTACAAGAAATGTCCCAAGTGAAAGAGGGTTGCGAAACAAAACACTACACAAAACAGGGCATTTTCGCACGTGCAGGACCAAAACCGCACGTGTGGGAAGGCTGGGGCAGGTGCGGCCGCAGGTGCAATTTTTCTATAACTCAAATTGTGAACAGAGCAAGCTGGCTGCATGTGCGGGAACTCCCGCTGCATGTGTGGTTCTAGGAAATCTGGTGCTGTTCGAAAAATCTGCAAATTCTAAGGGTGTGTTTGGTTTGTGTTTGTAGAGTAGTTTTTGAGATAAAAAGTACAAAAACTTGTTTGGTTTGCCTTTTTTTAGAAATGGTTTTGGAAAACTGTTTTGGGGAGGGAATTTTAAAAAAAGTGATTAATTTGATATGTATGAGAGAGAGAGTGATTTTGAAAAATAGGAAACCAAACAAAATTTTGAGATTTTTTTTGGAAAAATTTGTTTGGTTTGATTACTCTTGAAAATTTGTTTGTAGAGAATTTTTTCCAAAAATTTTTCTGAAAAACAAACCAAACAAGGCCTAAGTATTTCTCTTCTATTTTTCTTGAGCTAAGTCTTATGGAACTTGACCTAAAGCATGTATATTTGATGGTAAACATGAAAGTAAGATTGTTTTCTAAATCAAAACATCAAAACTTGTTTTAAATTCAAGAACCAAAGATCAAACTTTTGAGATTTAACAAGATTTAAGAAAAACCTATCTTTTCATGAAATCTACCCCTTTTCTTCCATCCTTAACATGAATTCAACCCATGGAACTAATGGAAATCAAAGGAACATCTAAATATTAAGGTCAAAATGCATCAAAAACACCACATGCAAGTTCAAAAAGACAATTCCCTAAACTTGCTATCCATCAAAAACACCACATGCAAGTTCAAAAAGACAATTCCCTAAACTTGCTATCCATTTCCTCAACCAAGTTCATCCTTTCCTATTCTTTTCCTAACTTGTCCATTTCTAAACCAAATCAATCCTAGTTTCTTTTTGATTTTTGATGTTAGGGATGATTACTACAAGATTTTGGGTAGAAATCTTACCTTAGATTGGTTAAAGGTTGAGGTTTGGGCACAAATCTTGAGCCTGTCTTCTTTCGCTCTTTCTTTCTTTCTCCTTTCTCTCTAGCTTGTTCTCAAATTCTCCAGCAGATTTCCTTTTGTTTGTTTGATTACCTAAGGTTTTATTGAGTAAGGTGGGGCAAAAGTTGTAAGGTTCATTAATTGGTTAATCTGCTTGCTTTGGCTTAATTAACTAGGTTTAAGACTAAGAAATCTAATCTTATCCTAAGTATACTTAACTTATTTAATCCTAATTAAGTTCACTAATCATACTTAATTATCACTAATCTTAATTAGCAAAATAGCAAATAGAATGAAATGGACAAGCACATTAGATGAAGGTCTTTAAGCTCCTCACTCAAGGCATAGGTCCATCCTATGGTTTTCAAATTGAGTTCTAAGTCATCCCTTTACTCAAGGCACAAAACTAACAAGTCATAAGCATGACTTTCTAAACTTAGCTTTTTCTAAAGTTAGCTCTAGCTCAAGCAAGTAGCATTTAACATAAGATTAAAGTACATGAATGTCATGATATGCATTATGCATGATAGGTTGGTTGTCACAACTTCACCTTCACAAGGGATAGGCTAATCGCACGAACACAATCTCAAATTTTCATAATATTAACTCTTCCCCTGAATCATTGAAATTACACATATATTTATAGACTAAAGACTTTCCTAATTTTACAAGGAGTATAACTCAAATTTAGAAACTGAAAATATTTAGCAACTACTAATATTCTAGACCAACTATGACTTCCAATTCTATTTCAATCATAATAGGAAACTATAATGACTTCTAACTCTACTTCAATATCAAAATAGGAAACTTGGACTTTTGACTACTAAGATTATTTTAGATATAATAAAACCCATATACAGTGACCCATTTGATAACTTGACCCAAAATAAAACCCATGGGTGACCCCCATAACCCATGTCAAAGTATTATTGGAATTATCATTGTACCCTTAATTTCTAAAACCTACTATAATGACATGAAGACTCAAAATTATTCTAAATATTTAATTCTTGATGCCCTAAATGTGCTTCATGTGAAAATTTAGATTTACTTTTTTTCTTCTTTCCATGATCTTCATCAGGCTTACGACCATTATTTATAATCATGGAACCCTAACTTAACTAGGAAACAACCGAATAAACGCAGTTCCTTAATTGACTCAGCAACATCAAAGAAATAAGAAAATAACAAAAAATGGCTAATTTCACTAAGGTTCAAACTTGGATACTAGAAAGAAAAATAATCATAACCAATAAAAACCTAGCCCAAATCGAAATCATCTAGACTAAGTCATTGATGGTTCAAATATTTCAAAAAATGGCAAAATCATGAAATTGAAGGCCTAAACGTTGGAATTTGCCTAACAACCATCGGGGTCCATGGCCCAACAATGGATTTGATCATCATAACATTTTTATGTCGACCAAACTTTACACCATTTTGAGCATGTGCCTTCTTGCCTCTATTAGTGCCTTTTGCCTCTGCTTGCTTTGTCCATAAGTACCAGGAACTCTATGGCCAAACACTTTGCATCATAGGCTGAGGGCTATTTTTGTACTTTGAGCCATATTAGTATAAATATATATGGGAATAAGAGGGAGAACCCCAATTCTAGTTTCTCTTTATCTTTTACAGTACATTGTCTCTTCTTTTCTTTAGTTCTTCTCTTCTTTCACTTATAGTTAAATTCTAGCTTGGTAAAAGAAAAAAAAAATATATATATATATATATTGTTGCTGTAAAAACAAACCAAAACTGTCACGACCCCAACTTGCCCCAAACAGGATGGTGCAGTGATCGGCCAGTATTCCTTGACTACCAAAGGCCTAATTAAACGAAAAGCAAGTTGAACTCTTATAATAATTGGGGCATATCTTGTTTTAAATTGCGGAAGCCATCATTCACTTTAGTTGAGTCCATTAAATCCATTTGAACATCCAGGGCAATGCTCATCTATATGTAATGAAACATACATCGTTCTTGATTACATACATATTTACAAAGGATACAACACCTAGAAGACTAATTACAACCCTCGTCTCTAGCATATATATGCACAAACTTCAAGGAACTAACTTCTTCATGATGCTTCTCTTGTACCTACATACATATAGGGGAGAGGGGTGAGCCATTGCCAGTGAATAGTAATTGTTGAAAAGGAGAATATTTAGCTGAGATTTATTACTGATCTCTAGGGATTGCCTAGCTATATGACAACTTTGTAAATAAGGAAAATTAGTTGTGTGATAGCTGTATGATTATTTAATTCTTGATTTAGTGCCTTGTATAGACTATAAATAGTGTACTTGTTTATCATTCTAAAAAATATAGAAGAGAAAGCAATTCTCTCCCAATTCCTTGTTGTTTACTTGGTATCAAAGCTGGAACTTTATTTCTGACTCTTTTCTGTATTTCTTACAAACAA